TGTGTGTGGGTGTGTGTGTGTGTGTGTGCCATGCCATTCACCAGGGCATGGCAGAAAGGTCCTTTGTCAGTGACCAGAGAGAATATTGCCCCGGGACCTGAAGTACTGACAATGAAGTACTGACACTGTACATCAAGTTTTTCAGAGTCATTTAAAATATTTTATGCATCAACATTATGTTTTATAAAAATGCTATAGAATATTGTTTTTCCAGCTGTATGGATCTCCTGCTGTACAAATTTAAAATGTATCGTGCAGCAGCATAATAGAAAGACAAAGAGCCATGAATTTCTACATCTTGAATCACTTTCGTATGACTGTAAAGTAGCAGTCATATCAATAACTAATGCTTTTATATTAAAATTCAAAAATCACACACTTTGTTACTATTTAATATATAATAACAGGAACAAGTGGAAATTTTCTGGTGTGTTCATGGTGTATGTAATGTAATATTACATAATCTGATTAAATCTTTGGTTTAAATAGTTTTAAATAATAGGAAAGATGTAGAATGACAGCTCATATCAGTACATTAGAGATGGCGCTTAGGGATGTTTTTAATTCAGATGTGCCACTCTACAGTTCAGTATTGACAATATATTGTAAAGTATATCTTCTATATTCCTGGGATTCAGTCTTGAACATATAGTTAGTCAGATGCTGTTAATAGCTTCAGTTCTTAATATATTCTGGAAACTACCAGCACGTTCCTCACCGTCTTAGTTACAGCTAGTCTCAAAAAAATCTAATAACAAAATCTTAATGAAATCGACATATTAATATATCCCAGTTATTTATGATTGTGATTTCCATGCGAGATGCATGTGCGGTTATTAAATTATACTTAGAGATGGAATTCTGCCCGTAAACACAGCACATTTTGCAACCCTGTTTTGTGTTCCGTATTAAATCCTGAAAAATACACAAATAGTTTGAAAATTTGTATCTGGAATGCTGCGGAAAGAGCTATTTCCGCCTGTGGGATGAGTTCAGATGTTTTTAAGGCAGCAGATGTATTGTTTTGGAGCGATGTTTTCTGTCAGAGGCTTCATCAGATTGCACCACAAAAGAGCCTTTTGGGTCCCCCTGAAGTCTGTAACACTTCAACCGAGCTGCTCCCTAACGTCCTGCTCACGTGTGATGAAGTCCAGCCCTGTCTACGTGGCTAATTAGAACCAGTATCAGGGAACAGAACGTGGATTCAGCTTCAGCTTTTGGGCAGCAACTTTGACCGTAAGTGTATAAATATGGAGTCACTGGGCACGGTCATTAGTGCCGCCTTGAGAAAGCATCGCTTTAAGTGAAAAGCCAGGTGCTGAGCTTGTGTTTGTTGTTGTTCAGCACTGGGACCAGTGCGTATGTGTGACATGTTACTTTCCTGTGCTGCAAGGTCAGTTTTTGCTGAGTTTAGCACGATTCTGGGGCCACGGGGCACCACCAGCTTCATGAAATGAGTGAGATTCTGTTATTCAGTAATTCTCACTGCATGCTGTGGCTCGGCTTCTTCATGCATATTAATGCAGTACATGCGACACCCGCATTACTTCAGATTAAACACAGAGGCGCGGCTTCTTCATGCATATTAATGCAGTACATGCAACACACGCATTACTGCAGATTAAACACAGAGGCACGGCTTCTTCATGCATATTAATGCAGTACATGCGACACACGCATTACTGCAGATTAAACACAGAGGCGCGGCTTCTTCATGCATATTAATGCAGTACATGCAACACACGCATTACTGCAGATTAAACACAGAGGCACTGTAATGGGGGGTGGGGGATTTAGGATGATTCAGAAGGGGCCCTAAAAAATCTGTAACATTATTGGATTTATCTGGGTTGGGGCCCCAATATAATAAGCTTCCATGGGCCCCAAAATCTTTAGTGGCCCCCCTGATTATACACATACATAATAAGAATTATATACTTTTTTGAGATCTCTTCAATAACAGAACAGGTAATCTATTTTTCCATACAAGCCAGAAACACTTTATTTCTTGGAAAGTCTCTTGACATTAGACCCTAATTGAAAGAAGGTTAAATGGAGGCTATATATAGTTTTAGACAGATAGACGAGGAGGGAGACGACGAGAAGAGCTGTAGTTTACATAGAACATCGAATGACATCCATTTAAACTTCGGCAGCGAATCCCATAGGAAGAGGAAAAGGGGAAGAAAGAAAAACGAGGACAGAGGAGAACTGGTGTGTTTGAGAAAAACACAGAACAAGAAAGGGGGAGAGAGACAGGAAAATTATCAATTACTGTAATTATGTCCCATGCCTCTTCACTCTCTCATTCAGCCAGGGAAAAGCAGGGGGAGTGCCCCCCCCCCACATACACGTACACCTACCAGCCGGCCTCTCGCCCCAGGTTGAGTGTTTAAGCAGAGCCACACGGCAGGGCTGCTTTTCCTTAATTACCCTGAAAGATGTGGTTTTGCCACAGAGGGAACATTAAGTAAGGGAGCTCAGGCCTGTCATCTTTATCGAAGGGATATGATTCCCTACAATCACCCCCCACCAGCCCCCTCACCATCACCACTGCTGCTTACATGGGGCGCTGCACCTCTGCGCGGCCCGCATGCCGACCGACCGAGGTCGTCAGGAAAAACAACTTCAGCTGACACGCCCACATGCTCTCCGAGGCGGGGGCCTTTACTGCGCGGGTGGCCGGGGCTGTGTGCGATGTCGCGCTGTCCTCCTTCTGTGATAGAATCATTTACTAGTGTTGTGGTCTAAAATCTGAATCACACTCTTTAACGCCACATGACCAAGGCTGGTGGAAATCTTTGTCAGCACAGCTTGCTACTGTTGGAGATACCATGACGATAGACAACTAGCAATTAGGGCACAATGCACAGTGCGCTACAGTGCAATGCTGAAAGCTGACACATACAATACAGACAACATGCATCCATACATATAGTGCATAACATGCATTGCATGCAGTGTGCAGTTATAATATGCAAACTGATTGTCAGGCGCCTGCACCGATGCAAATTTAGACAATGAAATGTCGCATAAAAAGGTTTAGGTGCCACCGCGACGGTTAGCAGCCTGTACCGTTTGCCAGGGCCTTTGTGAGAGCGTGCTGGGCCGTGCTGAAGCCGAACCAGGCTGGTTCCTTGGACCACGCTACCCCTCCGCCTTCCCCCGCTGAAGCAGCTGCGGTGTGATCATCGTCAGTTTTTCTGTAAACGAAATAACATGATTCATAGTGGCCCCCCCGAGGTCTGTCGCTGTCACCCAGCAATCTGCTTTGTCTCACCTCCCCGCCACGGGACAGAAGCGGGACATTGCCTGAGGGTGCCTGAACTCCGCCGAGAAACGCCTCTGCCGCTCCGGCGGACAGACGAGCCGGGCTGCATTCCGCGGCCAAGCAGGGCCGGGGCGGCCCCCATGCCCCGCGAGCGCTGCGCACACATTCATCACCCCATTCCATCCCCTCTGGGTGCCCCTCACTGACTCTGAGCCGAAAAAGGTGTTCAGGCTTATTTATTTGTTGATTTATTTATATCATTTAAAGCTGCACCTGCCCCTATTATTCAAAGACGGCCTCTCAACTGTAAGCAGTACTTTGAAACACGAGGTGTTCAGCGGAAACAAAGCTGAGTTCAATGAGCAATATGCCCGTATATACAGTATAGTGAAAACTCCAAACATGAGTTGACAGTTGTAATCCCTTTTGAAACATCGCATTAGCTTTAATTTATGTTTTATAGTGGTTTGCCTGTTTTTGATAGTGCCGTTAGTAGTTAATTAATTAAGTAATTTTGTTAAGTATATAGGTTATGGTTCTTTTCATGTCTTATTCTCTTGCAGAGAAATATACATATATATGTGCGTGTGTGTGTGTGTGTGTGCATGCTCCCTGCCTTATATACTATAGTGTCTGCCTGCCCCCCCCCCATCTAACCCAGATAAGTGGTGAGGAGATGGATGGTTAGATGTCATTTTATTCAATAAACAAAGTGTTTTTTCCCAATCATTTAAAATGATTGGGAAAAAGTATGGCTGGTGACATCAAATGTCCAGTCACTTCTCAGCGCTTGCTGTACACAGAAAGTACACATCAGGTAAGTACATTGCACTTCTGAGTTTTCTCCGTAAAAGATGTAAAATAGTTAATTCCTTGACTCAAAAAAAAGAAAACTGCAGACTTAACTTACATTCCCTGTTTATAATATATTCAAGTTTTACCAGATTTCAATTAGACAGAAAGTATGCTACTGTAATCGTTAGTAAGACATATATGCTATAAACAGATGGGGAATTTTTAAACTGTAGGATTGGACATCTCCTATCAATGGATGTCACTCGCGTGTTAGAAATGTGAGAGAGGCTCTGGACACAAGGCGTGGCTACGGCTGTGGTTGACAAGGAACAACACTTCTCTAGTTCTGGGTCCAGGGTATACCTCCAACACACCAGATCCCATACTCCCTCGAACTCACACTATCCGTACATCTCTACACCACGATACTCACTCAGGAGAACCCAGACTGGGTCAGCAGATTACAAAATCAGGTCTGATGACCATGAGGAAGTTAATGTGCAATATCTGCACAGATAGGCAGTACTAAAAAAAGAAATTATGATGGAAATATCTGTTACCCTATCAATGTCATATATTTCATTTCAAGGCGTTTCCAAAAACTGTTTTTAGCCAAGTAGCTGCAATCATTTAGCAGCTCAGAATTTGCATTCATCAAACATTTCTTCTTGCAAGCGATGTCACATGCGTGGAAATGGCAAGACCTGTGGAAAGACGGCTTAAAATGGATCGGTGTGACAAAAAAAAAAGTGGAACTGAAAACTGGGGCAGTGACGTGTATTTCAGCCTCTTCAACTTCTCTTTGGCAAATAAGGAGTTTCTGCAACCAGGGATGGATACTATACAGCTCCCTTTGTGAAGCTGCGCCTGGAATCTCCTCGTTCACCAGAACTTTAAAGTTCAAGAGAACATATACATCACATAGACAAAAACATTAAATTCACAATGACGATGTTTATTATGAGCAGAACACATATGGATGTGTTTTAGCTATACAGTTCTCCTTGGCCCAAGAGAACCCACTGAACTGGTCCTGGGGAAGACATTAAACTGGGAGTTGAGCAACTGGAGCAAGGAGGAATCCACTGGATCAGCTCCAGTGATGGCAGCCATCTATGAGTTGTGCTTTTCATCTCATTGGTTTGCGCAATGAGTGTTATACTTTACTCAGCTATGGCAAAAACAAGGTCTTTCCTTTGCCAGTGAGATTTTCTTTTTCGTTTCTTGCTGCAGCTCCTGGCAGTGTTGGTACTGGGGGCATCAAGTTTGTTTTGTTTATTCTCTCTGGTGGTTTTTCCTCGATGCCCGACTGAGGCCATCCATCTATAGGCTGACCGGGGGAGCTTACGGTGACTCATACCCGCTTCTCAGCCTCACCAGGATTCGGCAGATAAGTTACTTTCTCAGAAGCTCCGAGGAACTTCCCCAACACCACGTCTCCTCCCACAATGTATGAAGATTCCCAATTTTCTCTGTGCACAGTGTATTATAAATATATTTCATATGTATGAAGAGACACTATATAGATCTATGCATATATTGCACATCCAATCACCACGTTTGTTTTGGTTCTCTAAAAGAATAAAAAGAAAAGACACAGAGTACCAGCACCACCTACTGGATGGGAGCTCACAGTACGTATGCAATATGCAGGAGTTACTTACCAGGTAGTGGTATGATCGTTTTTACTAAATCAGCCTCTTTCAAAACACTCCTTTGTCTTTTTCTCTTTTTCCCATTCTGCTTAATACTTCAACAGTACATTGTTGGTTCCATGGTCTTCTAATAAGCAGCATTAGTTTTTGCGTTTGGCTATTTCTGGACTCTCGGGATATAGGCCCTGCAGATATACACACTGATGCTTTTGGTCTTAAATTACGAATAATTATCTTAGGGACCCAAGTTAGCGAGTCAGTGAGACTCTATTTTCCCATGTTCCCCCACTGCAAAGTACACTACTTATTACAAATGGCTCTGTAACCATCCAACCGCTTCTGGGCCAGCAGGTGTGTTCCAGATGTCAACAACATAACTGCAAGAGGATGTTTTGTGCTCAACTTGCAGGAAAAAAAGGGGCTCACCCCCTCGTCTCTGATTGCAGGGGCCCTACGGCTGGTGGTCATGCTTGGGTCTTGTTTCCACCATGTGTGTTGCGCTGCCTTTGCTCTGTCAAGACAGCTTTCACGTCTGAAACCGCAATATTTCAGCGTGTTGTATCAGGCCTTCAAAAAACGAGAGAAAAAAGAGGCCCAAGGAATGAAATGCGTGTTTGTGACATTTTATCCCCCCACATGCCTGTTATATGCCCCAAAACCTATGACATTAATCTTGCGTTGCGTGGAAAATCGTGCTACAATAATGATGGCTGTACACATTGACTATAAATGACATTTACATCGCATTACATAGCCAAAGAAAGGAGATAGCCATAAACTGCACGACGTGTGCAGTTGATATGGTCCGCTGCAATTCTTTCGAAGGCCCCCTGTGTTAGGGAAATTGAACTTCTACGGCTCCAGGATTCCTGCACGGTATACGCGCCATCGCTGAGAGGCCCCATGAGAGCTGGCTGTTACGGGATTGATTTGATTTGCACAGAAGAGCCATCCAATAGGTCTTGACGGTTGGCACAGCTGCCGCGGAGCTAGTTAGCATTCACGGCCCGTTCGTTGCTAAGCAGTAGCCGAACGAGCTTTCAGTGCAGGGTTGCAGGTTGTGGTGGATGTGCATCTGGGAGCAGGGTCTTGAATGTGACATATTGCGTACTGGCATACGGACCACCTGTCATGAGGTTACAGTGAGGGGACAGGGAGCGGGAGGGGGTCATTCTTAATGGGCAATGTGCATAGTGCTCGTTATAGAAAGAAGGGCTATACCGCCATTCTTTATCTAAAAGAGTGAGCGAGAGACAGAGGGAGAGAGAGAAGAGATTGAGCTAGCCTTTGATCAAAGTGTTCGTTATTCAGTGAAAGGCAGCGCACAGTGATCGAAGGGACGTTTAAAAGAGACAAGGAGGCGAGTGGCAGAACGCAAGCGCTGGGCATTTTGTTATCCTATTCTTTTTATGATGTGAAAATCCCCCAGGAGGCTAATTTTTTGGGTCGCGACCTCGCACCCCGCACCGTAGTCGGAGAAGTTTGCGAGATCACGTTTGAAGAATGTCGGCTGCCTTGTTAGCTGTCAAGCTTGTCTTTAAAGGAACCGTAACTGTCTCCGCGCTGAAGGTTTGGCTGTTCCCCCTTTCTCCATCTTTGCCGGGGGTGACCTGGAAAAGTGCCACCCATTCATTGTGCTCGGAGAGGGTCCGGATTGAGCGAAAGATGAAGAAAAGGCAAACAAAAATCACTTTGTTAGCAATCGTTCAGATCTGACAGCATCTGTTATGGCAACATAATAAAGAATAAAAAAGGATCTCTTGATTATTCAGAGACAATGTGGCCCCCTAGCCTTTGGGATGGGAGTAGGGGGGTGTATTTTACAAGAATAAAGGAGCTGACTAAGTCTATGATTAGCTGTGGGAGGAAGCTAAAATATTGTATCCCTGAACCAATGTTTGGTCATTTATGCACCAGAGAAGCTGATGCTGATGTTTTTGCACTGTATATGAAAATTGCATTAGGTATGCTGGATTCAGGAGGTGGGCTGTTATACTGGAGACTTTCTATAAAGGTTTTTTAAAACTTTTTAAAATCAATATGAAATACAAAAAAAAAAATCTGTTTCTGTTTGCATTAAAGCCTATATGATGGTACACTGAAAAAAATTTGGTCACTGCTAAAAATCTGGAAGGTATACCACGGCAGAATATCGCGGCAATCACGGTTATCATTTGTCTTAGATTTCAATGGACTTTTCATGTATTTCATACACAGTGAGTTTACCTGGAAAATCTTAAACACAGCAGAAATAAAAGTAAAGCAGTACGACATATTGGAAAACTAAAAGTGCTAACAAAATTTTATAGATTTTAAACTATTGCTTATAATTTTCCTTCAGGAACTAATGACACATATCTAGCACGGTTATCGTGGATAGCCATTCTTTGGCGCATTGTAATGAAATATATTTTGCACTCTAAACAGCAGATGGCAGCACATACACAGAGGAATTCTGAACTGTAAAAGAATGTGATAAAACACATGGGGAATACGGTGCTGCTCTAGGGCCGGTGTTTAAAGGGTTTGTGTCAAATGAAAGATTGTTGACCTTCTAAATGTATGACATTCACAAATGCTTTTTCTGATCGAACATTTTTTGTTAATTTGGTGCATTCTGTTTGTCTTCGCCTGTCTTTTACCCTCAGATACATACTTCTATGATTACATCACAGGGAACCACCCTTTAATTATACTGACAAGTCTGATGTCCGCATGTCCTCAGAGAGACAAAGGCTGCCAATTCTGCCTGAAGTAGGTGTACATAAACTTTCTTTTGCAGATAGTCCCAACATGACATCAGAGGGTTCAGAATTCAGGGTTTAAATGAGATCAGAATGCTTGTGCCAGAATCCTTGTTTATAAAAAAGCATAATATTTTCCCTGCTTTTTATACACTATCCTAATTCAGCAAGTGTTTGGAGATCTGAAATATACTTCCCAAAGAAGTTTCATACAGAATACCAATAGCAGGGAAGTATCTTTGAAGAATTCTTCATTATAAACTGTCCTATTTTGGCACATGTGGAGTATATAAACACAAATTACTGTTTGGTACGGGCCTGCGTGAGGACATGATTCTGTACTGTCAACATATTGTACAATATACAAATACAGTTACAAGAAGATACATTATTGCTGTGTAAGAAAGAAAAACAGTGTGACAAAGCTACACTGGCAAGCTGCAGTGAGGGACAGGTCATATTCACTGGCCCGGGGGGTGTTCCACGAAGCAGGATAAAGGGAAAGTCTGACTTTCTTTAGCTACTTTCATAGAATACCCCACTGGTCAGTGAGAGCAGGATTACAAGCAGGGATAGAGGTCTTTCTGCTTATCACTGGAAAATTGATAGTTGTTGTGGGAACTTCTCTGCCTTTTTTGGAGGTCTCCCCTCATGGTAAATAAAAAGAACTCCTCACATTTGTAAACTGTGTGGTTCCTCCCCTTACACTTTTTCCAGACTTCTATTCACTCTCCATACTGTACCTCCCAGTGTCTGCTAAAACCATCACTGTCAACTGAACACACATGTCGCCCCCCCAAGCGCCAATCCCAATCCCCCGGCTGCCTGCCTCTCGGGCCTGATCCAGCTGCGTCGAGCGCCGCCCCCCCCGTGCGACTCTGCTCAGTCAGCCTCAGCAGAACTCGAGACACCTCAGACTGTCAGCTATTGGAGCAGCTGGCCTGGAATCAGAAGTGAGAGCAACAGCAAAGTGAAAAAATGTGTGTGTGGGGGGGGGGGGGTGTTTTATGAGACTGTGTATCCTGTTTCCAGTGACACACCAGTCTCCATCGTATCCAATCCAGTGTACAAGGAACAATGATATCAGTCGAGGCTCTGAAGCCATACGTGCAGCACTACCTATGAATCACCTTCTGCAGGCACGTTCTTCAGGTCAAACCCTGCATCTGACTTCACAAGCATTTACAGTTCAATTAGAAGAACTGGCTGTGCTCTTACAAAGGTATTTATGCACTGATAATCTCCAACGCATCTCGCATTCCATACCTGGTTAACAGGAACCTGGTGCTTTAGTGCCAATTGTGGCGCTGACCCGGTCTTCATTCCCAGCCAGTGGCGACGTCACGCGTTTTCAGTGGATCCACCACAGCGGATGTCCCCCATCAGAATAAGGTAGCTCTCTGCTATCCGCAACATGAAATCAACCTTGTATCTATGTCACAGAATAATATAAAATCCCACAATGAGAGACACACCTAAAAAATAACAAGCTGTAACAAAAAACAGCAGGGAATAATATGGGAAAGTAACAGGGTCCGTCATTCCGTAACACCATTTGCGGCATGTACATAGATTTCAGTGGTATTTCCACTGACCAAATTGTAACATTCTGAAACACATGGAGAAGCTGGTCTCCATCTGGGGCTGATGGTTGCGTGGCCAAGGGGGAGTGAGACCGTCCCAGCTACTGCATTAGGCGTGCTGCACACCACTGTTAAGGCGTTCAGGCACCACCAGCCACAGCGTCATTTCTGAGATGTTTAGTCATAGAGAATGTTTACTTAACACTGACGAAAATATGTAGCTTGACACTGACACGCGCCTGTGTAGTTTTAAATAATATTATCAAGTGCTATTTGCATTAGGGGCAGTGTAATCGCTCAGGAAGGTACCATTGTGGGCTTGGCTTCATGCCTTGGGTGTTGTGGGTTCGATTCCCACTGTGACTCTCTGTTTAGGGAACTTGCATGTCCTCCTTGTCTTTACGTGGGTTTCCACCCTCAGTCCAAAGACATGAGGTTTAACTGGAATGGTGTCTGTGAATTGCCTGAAGTGGAAGCCCTGTGATGGACTTGTTCCTGGTGTACCCCCACTGGAAAAGTGGCTGTGGAAAATGAAAGGATACTTTTCTTCAACAATGAAAATGTACTTTAATCAATGTCAGCAATAAATGTGATATGATTTGTGGTCTCTGTGAGGCTTGGAAAGAATGAGTATGGTCGTAAAGCATAATGCATTCCTGTATTCGTTGTGGAGCATAATTTTGTTTTTGACTCTATTTACAGAAACACTCACAACAAATAGTTATGTTTTATTTTTTTCATTGAAGTTTTAAAAATCTCCTACGGTATATATGCATTACATGCACATCAGTACTTAGAAACATTACCACATTACATTTAGCAAGTCTATGGGAATTTTACTTACATAAAAGTGTTCTGAAGGGGAAATGAAAAGTGACTGGTTCAGAGAACAAACCATACAGATTGTAGAGGAGGTGGGACTAGCCAATCATACATTCTGGTTCCGCCTCCTCTAGTTGCTTGGAACCATTACTTCTACAATCTGATTGGTTAGCTCTCTGAACCAATCATTTCCATTCTGCCCTCAGAACATTTTTTTGTAAGTAAAACACCCGCAAACTTTTTGCAAGCTGCTTGGGTGGATTATGAAACGTGACAAAGTTAAAGGGTACATTTTGAGGGATTTTTAGTGTGTCTTGTGAGTAAACCGTTCCATGGAACCCCATTTACTCTGCTGTAGCCTTGATGATACATTATAACCTTTTGAAGAAAACCCAGTCATATGACACAGAGGATATTAAACCATGGCCCAGCGTGCACCATCTGCTGACGGCCTGGCCAGCTAAGCGCAGCGTCACCCAGCCCAGTCACTACCGGATCAGGCGGCATCATAAATAAACCACAACATACCAGAGACATGGGGTGGGGTCCTTATAAGCACTTATAAAGGTAACCACTTCCATGAGTCAGCATTAACCAAAATAGGGAGCTTCAAAAGCATCCCATAAGCTCACGTCGTTGCGAGACTTTCTTAGGCTGTGCTGGATTCACAGGCTATACCAGCCCAGAATAAGGAAACTTGACCTTATAACGTTCCCTAAAACGTAATGATCATCCTTTAATTTGCCATTGGCACAAGTATATTGAAATTCCTTAGTCTTCCCCTGTCCCACTTTGGTCTTCACTGAAACACACCTACATATACATGCAGAAATCCAACAGCTGACATCTGGGTTATGTTCTGGAAGGGAAGACCTAAGTCAGTCTGGATGTATCTTGATTGCTATGTACTATATAACATAAGATACAAGATCACACACATTTAACTAAACCTCTATAGTGGCAGCACAGTTGGTTTTGGTTCATTTCACCTGCTACATATGAGGGTAATGATGACTGAGTCTATACACACACACACACACACACAAAGCTTGGGGTTAAAGTGCAGGGTCCATAGTTATATGACTATTCTTATTTGGCTCAGGATGGGATTTGAATCGGCAACCTTCCGATCACAGGCACTGAGGTCGAACCTGTGGCACCAAACACCACCCCAGTATGATATACAATCCAAGATATACAAAATTTGAATGCAAAGCAGTTAAAAGTATCCATTTTAAAATAATAGCCTTACAGTTCTGGACATTTTGACTTAGCGGTCACAAAAAAAACCCAATTACATTCTGTAACAGTTAGAGGAGACTCTGCGTCGGCCTTGAGCCTGTATAATTATGCTTACAGACTACAGCTTGAAGAAAACATGCAGTAGACAAGACAGAGTGAGTGGTGAGCACCAGGTCATCAATGTGACACTGCACACTTGTGCCAGCGTCTGACTCTCCAAACTGCAACTGCATCCAACTGGACGATGCTCATCTGCCTTGGATCTTATGGGCTCCGTGCCACATTTTCTGCCGTTCACCCCGGCCGTAGGGAACCTGCCGCCGAATGCTAACCCCTGCCTCTGGGGAGGACTGGGATGTGTTATTACGGTAGAGTAAGCAGGGCCTCTCTACACCCATATAAGCCTCCATTTCCACCCCTTCCTTTGTGCTGAAATAACCACAGCTGACAAACTGAAGTACTAGCACAGAACATATTAACCTAAGCAGTTCAACTTATCATCAGAGCAGGCAACTACCAGCACAAACAGATTTAATCCATAGGTACCTAACAGAGGTGGAGATTTCAGGTCCAGAGAGTACAAATCCAGACCAAGATTTTGTTTCAACCAACCAGCTGAGTATAAAGAGTCACAGTCACAGAGTACTCAACTGGTACTCAAATAAGGCAGATGGCGAGTGGTAACCAGAGCTGGACGCATACTCACACGCAGTGACATGTGCAATTAACAGGCATAAACAGCATGCTTGTGTATTTTGGGGGGAAACTGGAATATCTGCGTTAAAATGGGGAAAACCTGCAAACTCTATCCACAGAGAGCAAAAACCAACAACCTTGGAGGTGTAACTGCATGTATGTCAAACGGAATCAATACAGCAGCATTAAAATTGTAAGACTGAATCAAAAATCTAAAAATATGAGACTAAATAATGACACTCAAATAAAAAAAAATACTTTTTCCAAAAGTTTCCAAGAGTTAGGTGATAATTTTGTGACTGAATTCTCAAAAATGAGGGGTTGTGTTGCAGAGTGCCTCGAATGTTTGCAGGGCCAAAGTTTAGGGCTGTTACACAACTTGTAAAAGGCATGAGTTCCACCTCTGCCCTTCAGCTGACTTTGATGCCTGCCTTCTGCTCACGCCCCTGCGCTGCTCCTTCCACATGCCCCTACTCATTTCCCTGTGGTACATCTCCACATAAACAAAGAGACATGTGTACAAAATTGTTCTGTCCACAAACCGGGTGCTGGAGGTCTGTGTTGTGTCTATGGGAAACGTTTGCAAAGCATGCCCAAAAAAATCTTCCCAAAAGATTGTCCAACTAGACCAAAGGGTATGAACCATTCTGCTCATCTGTGAAGGACCATCCCTGATCTTCAGCTCATTTCAATACAGAGCAAAGTGCCACTGAAGTCCTGTGGTAGACAGGCTGCAGCCAACTTCAACACTGGTCTCCGACAATCCCTATTAAATATGGTGGTTTCTCTGTTTTGCTCAGTCAACAATCTGTAGACATCAATAATTACAGGCCACAGTCCATCAATCAGCTATGAAATGCAAGTTTCGAAACAGCAGCTGACCAATCAATCAGCCATAAATATTGGGTTTCTGACTGAGACACCTCCCACAACTTTAAACGTTGGAGATCCAGAAGGTGCAGGCGGCATGGCCACGTCCAAAGCTGGTTCATCATCAAACGAACATCTTTCCAAAGGCAGCAAGGTCAAGAGACAGACAACACATGGAAGAGACAATAACATTACCCTTCTAAAATGTAGAGGAGTATTCCGTAATGAATAGTTGTGAGAAAACTAAACAACCTTTAGCTTGAACCTATGATTTAAAGATCTTTGGTTTGCTGCGCTCCTGCCATCTGTGACCAAAGGTGATTGTTTTACTTGGAAATATACCTGAGGTTCTATTCTCTCCTGAATCTTACTTAAACACAGAGGACAGCTGTTAAGGATAGGATGAGACAAACCAAATCACTACCCCCTGAGGTTTTTTCCACAGTAACTTATCAAAACAGCAGTGTAGATAACAGAACATCTGACTTAAAACCTAAAAAATAAAGACAAAATTTCACGTGCACATTAGTTGACAAACACTGAATAAATGCATGGCATTTCAAATAGAAATTGCAACTATCAAGACTATATGGGTACAATACAGACAAGAAGAATTTCATATTATAGCTACAAACAACGTTATGGGAGATCAAACATCAAGACGACCACTCCTGCTCAAACGTAATTAAACAGGGTGAAAAGTCTCAGGGTGCTCACTGTAACAGTTAAAAATGACATATTAGAAGGATGAAAAGTAAGAACTGTATTCAGCTTTGATACACCAGTATTATTAGTTTTGCATGCAAAAGAGTAAAGATAAAAATTTTAATTGGCATCCCATGATTCTTTTATCAGAAATGAAGTATGCGTACAGTGGTTTTGTGGGTCCGATAGATATACTGCCATGCTTGTTACCACAAGGGTTTCAGTAGTTCAGTACATGAGTTGACATTATGAAATCTATACTTGCAATGCTTACTCTGGTGCATTAATCCCCATCACACAACCATAAAGATCAAGCACGCATTAGTGAACTAAGCATGTCAATACAGCAAAGCGCTAATGCAGTTGTTTACACTGAGGGCATTGGATCATTCTGTAAAAAGACCCGTTTGAAAAACCCAGACTGATCACTGGGTTTGAAGACCCAAAATTGTATTAACACATGTACAAGAAAAACAGTGATGTACTAAAGAAAAAAAAAACATTATTAATGCAAGTTGAACATTCACCTCTTCAAAGAGCATAAAGATACATGCACAGTGAACCAAGGAAATATTCATAATACATACCTAAAATAAACACTCATCTGAAGCTGGTATGCAAAGTGCCACACATGTACATATACACGTACATCACAGGTAACGGGTCCTGGGTGTTAACACACAGTGGAAGGCACTGAATTGTGTGTCATGACTTTGATTATTATTTTCGGCTATAGTCCCTCACTTCTGCAGACGGTCACTCGTGTGTTGCATATTAAAACAAGTCCAGCCATCTGCGAACATGACGTTTGCGACGCTGTTTTTCCATCTTATCATCCTCCTGGCTGGGGAGTTAGGGCTGCTTGAGTGATTGCAGGCCCACGAGATTGCACAGTTAAGCTGTAGCTTGCCCAAACTGCTCCACATGTGGGGGGGGGTTAAGGAACCATACCACATCCACACACGCTGGGCCTGCGCTTAATGCTTCATGCTACAACGTCGAACTTTCCCAAATGCACCCAGTGGCACCGTTCGCTCTCCAGTTACTCCAGCATAAATCTTACGGAGCAAATTTGCACGGTGAGGTCAGAGTGCAATAAAAAGTTTCCTTATTCTCCCATAAAACTCTCAGCAACAGCATGAAAGAAGGTTCTATATGTTCAAGGATTCAGGGATTCGTGAGTTTTGTCGCATAGTGAAATGCAAGGCGGTCAACTCTGTCATAATGAATAGTAAATGGAAAATAAAGACATTAAAAGAAACAAAATAGTACATATGGCATAAATAAGGAAAGATATAGTGTAATAAATAAATAAAAGACTAGAGAACAGCAACATAGTAGCACCGTATAAAGGGATTATAAGATGCACCGCTACATATGGCAACTGTAAGTGAAACACATTTACAGTTTCTAGATTATTTCTGTTTAGCTGGAAAGCGACACATATGTAACTGAAGGAGTGGCTCAATACTCTTCTGTGTTGGAGGTAGTGAGGCGATGTCTCGAAAGCCCCATTAATTGCCTCCCGCAACAGTTTTATTGCTTTAGTAATGGCTGTTTGATTTTTTTACAGCCCTCAAATCAAATTGTAACAGTTTAAAAATATTTGTGCAAACTTTTAACATTCCTTCATTTAAAATTGCGGTGCTGAAAAGGTTAACTAAAGTTTCCGCACTGCAAAGAAACTTATGGCGATATCCGCAGTGCCCTGACTGCACACTGGGTCTTACCTTTGAGTCTATGTTGAATTTAGTTTTAGTGCACATTGAGTGTTTAATTATTTAATACATAATGTGTACATTCTCATTATTAAAAATAACATTACTGACATTTCATTATGTCTTGTTCGTCTTTTAATTGCAGCATCTTGATGAAATATGTTTTTAAACATAAAATGTTTATACCCAGCGATATACTCTGGTACTATATACAAGTATATGGACTGTTTTATAAGGCATTAGAATAGTAGGTAAGCGGAGCTCTGATGCAATATCCTGTGCAGTTATATACAGGGGGGGCTTGGCTTCCCCTGTAACCCGACCCTACACGTCGCCCTTTTAAAGGAATAGGGGATGATCCCGGTGAATGGGGGCAAGTGGCCGCTGGATGCCTCATACTCGGGACAGCAGGGAGGGAAGGTCGAGGCAGTATGAAAACCTGGTGTCGAGGTCTGGGGACATTTATCTAAATACTGAGTGATCGGAACACCACCATGTGGTTTTCGTGGAGGGGGTTGATGGTGTAAACGCAAGTGGACGGAGAGGAAGCGCACTGAAAGTCACAAGGTAATTCACATGCGATATCAGGGAAAAACGGGTGGAACAAAATAAAATGTGATTTTAATAGCCATACGGTCTACTGCGTCCTACCGCCGGTGTCCTTCCGGAAATCAGGATGAAATAAACTTTTCGTCGTTGTGTTGCATTTAAGTAAAAAACTACTACGGACTAGCAGAGGGTCTGTGCACAGATGAGTGAGTGGGTCGGGCCAAAGCTGTAATGAAAGAGTTTGCTGGACTAGCACGGGACTAGCTGTCTGACACCTGTGCATTGCAAATTACAGGTATGCACCATTCGGAATACAGGAGCTACACGTAATTTTAACATTGAATATTAAGTGCAGTGATGGAAACGTCTCTTTCAGCGGCTCACAAATGTGATCAAATGTGCTGTCGCCGCCAGAGTTGTGTCCTTCAGCAGTCGGACATTACCGTTTGCTGGAAGTACTGATAGATTACATGTAAAATTGTGATAATTTTAGTAGTTCTTTGAAGACGTAGACTCAACTGACCGGTAGAATGGAGCGTCATTCATTGCGTTAGTTTCTTTAAGTGGTGGATATGCAACTTTAAATTATATTCTACCTTTCCTAGGGCATAGAAGCATTTCTGACCTACACAGGATTTGCAATCATTTGACAGCAGGACAGTAAGCAGGGTTGTGTTATATCTTTCAGTCACACTGAGGCTATGCCTGTAACAGTCAGCCTCACCATAGATCACCCAGTCCTGCTCTTCCCACAGGTATAGCCAGCAGGAAATTACATTTACCACCTTGTAAGTATGATTTTCATGGCCGTTTAAGTAAATGTCAGTAGAGGTTGATATTTCTCTCAATATTCATGCTGATAATGTTTTGAAATGAAACAAGAAAAAAAATCCCATTTAGGAAGAAATAGCACAACAGTTAAAATCTTTAGTACAGCTTATATTTTTTATATCTCATCGGTTTTCCCTCCAGTTTGAAATTTATATGTGTCATTCCCAGTTTGTATTTTCGCCCAATTCATTGCTGTCTGGTGACTCATTGTGTGTTTGACAGTATGAGCACTCAAAGTGGGTTGGATTGGGGTAGATGGAGAGGACAGACTGATTATGACTTGTTGATTTATTTACTGGAGCTTATTTTCACGCTTCTGCTCACAGCTTTAGGGAATCTGTAAGTTGTGCGATTTTGTGCTGACGTCTTGATGGCGACAACACGAGACTCCAGTTTGCCACGTCACATGTTAGTGCTTCGCTGCATAGATATCACCCATGGGTTGGCATTTTCGCAGCCAGAGTCAGTCACTGTGGCAGGCTTTGTTGACATTCCCTCAATTAGATGTCGCTGACGGCGAAGTGCACGTGTTTCCATTGGAATAACACAAACAGGAACTGACCACATGTTCTGCACCCATCATGAGGGAAACTCATCCAGGCCTGAAGCTTCTGTGGTCACACCTTGTGTCATCAGGGTAGCAGGTTGAAGCTGGTCGGCCAAAGGTAAAGTGCCATGCCAGGAAAAGTGCAGTTATTTCTCGTAGCAGGCAAAGGACAGCGGGCTGTCATGCCATGCAGAAGGCGGCCTGTTTTCTCTGAGAAAGAGCTCATGTATGGAAACCAAATGCAAGGACAGAAATGTCATCATGAAGTCAGTCTACGTGGACAAAATTAAACAGGAGTGTGTAAAGGGTCCTGAGTGCACAGAACTGGCCCCTGTTTGTCCTTGGTAATTACAGCAGCTGACAATGGCCAGGGAAGATTAAAATACATAAGCTGTTCCTGTGGATTCCCCTTCCCTGGAATAAAAGCAAATTAGCTCGGCTTTCACAATGACAGTAGAGAACAGAATGGGCAACATTAACTGAGACTTGAAAGGTCTGGAGAAATGACATCATTGGATCACCTGATAGGTTACATCACCGCAGCTTGATGTTGAAAAGCGCAGTGAAAAGAGGGGTGAAAGGGAAGTGTGTGAATGTGTGTGTGAGTGTGTGTGTGTGTGTGTGTGTTTGAGTGTGTGTGAGTGTGTGTCTGGGTCTGGTTGGGAGGGTGAGATGAAAAACCAATTTATGTGTGGTACTACAGGGTCTCTGTGTTTGACCCCAAAGATTCTGCTCTTCCTCAAATTCCAAATAACCAGGACTGTCCCTGCATTGTGATGCTTTCACCCGATAAACTGGATGATTTCTGTATATAAAATAGTTTCTTTGACTTGCTATATTTGGATGTTTCAGATCAGCCAGTGAAAATGTATAAAAATTATCAGATCTTAAGTACTTCTTTGGAAAAGGCTATTTTCCATATTATACCTACTCTGGAAAACCTGCTTTGGTTTTTAAACTGTCATATTAATCCATTTTGGCATAATTATCCTGTTAACTCATCATCTCTTGCATGCTGAGATATCTTTGCATCATTACCGCATTGTGATATGTTCCCCTATTGTGGCTGTTCTTAATCAATGGAACTCGTTCAGCCAGCATCCTGTGGTCTGATTCTTAACGACAAATGAAGTTAAGACCCCAGGATTCTCTCAAACTTGGGCAGCGTGAATAATCCTCCATCAGCTATTGTGACAGAAGTTGTCTGGTGGTTTTGTTGGCAAGTGCAACAGAAAAGTCAGCGTAATCCTTGTTGGACTTGGAGCCTGCCAGGCCATATTTGCTATCTCAGAGTTTTCCAAGAACCTCTATTCCTTTTCATCTCCTGCAGCGACTATATTCCACTGTGAACATCTGTGTTGGTCAGACCTCTTCTGGCGCTACGTGGACCATATTGCAGAACAATATTCTGGAAGCACTGAAAATATTTGTTTCTTTTACACCTGTTACTTACAATAATCCAAAAAAATTGGGCAACAAGATACTGTCTGAAAAATACATTCATGCATTAAGATTAATCCAAGAACACTGCCTGCGTCATACATTGGGTTTCCTGTACGTGATTCATCTTATTGGAAGGACCCAATGACCACATGTGCTTTCTCTTTATTTTGAATGACAGTTATAAGCCCAGTGCAGCCAGATAAACATGGGTATAGAAGGACCTCACCCTGGCCCCACCCAACACAAAACCAAGCCCACACTGCTGCCTCATTCAGGCACTAATGTGTGGGTGAAGACCATTGGACCTGCCCTCGGAGGGGTGTCCATAGATCTGGAATGTGTTTAACCAGCAATTGGTTTGTTCCTGTAAGAGGTGGACTTTCAGTTTTTCTCTCGTTTTGTGGTTCAGTTTTGTTTTGTTTTTTATCTCCTACACGCGCACACACAATGTAAGTTCCTTTTGCCCACATTAAAATGAAACCATTACACCAAATTTTAATTAGCTTTACCTCACCCTCCACTTTGAAGCCTTTAAAGTTTTAATTGCATCATACTGTAGTTACATTCAGTGTCCTTTCGTAGCATTATAATTTTATTAATATATCTGTTTCAACATTTACCAGTACTTTGTATGCTTTTTTCGTAAATGATTTCAAGCATAGGATTATAATTCTGTTTTGTTGTGGCTGCTTAGATAACTGAGGATTTAAAAGATCATCTTTAATAAGTTTAGTTTATGGCATTTGCTGTCAGTTTAGGATTTAAGTTAATAAAACTGCTTATTACTGTTGTTTGATTCCCATGATTTGAGCTTCTATCTTTTGTTTTTACAAA